ATGAATCCGTCAAAATGTCGAAGTATTATATTTTCTCTTAAACTTAACAAACCTGATCATCCTGCTTTGCTTATGGACGGCGCTTGTATAATTGAGGTCGAAAGCCACGCCCATCTTGGCCTTATATTTCAAAATAACATGTCCTGGCGGAGCCATATACAGAACATTTTTGAAAAGGCTTCCAAAAGATTAAATATGTTAAAATTGATTAAATACAAAGTTAATAGCTCTACGTTAACATGTTTATATAAAAGTCTAATTAGACCTTTAATGGAGTACGGAGACGTAATTTGGGATAATTGCAGTGAAATAGATTCCAAATTATTGGATAGTATTCAGTATGATTGTGCAAAAGTCGTAACAGGTGCTATTAAGGGTACAAGTGCTAGAGCGTTGAGGAATGAGCTTGGGTGGGAGAATCTCAGTGTAAGGAGAAAAATGCACAAATTAAATTATTTTTATAAAATTACTAAGCATATTTCTCCCTCTTATCTAGTAGACGTATTGCCTATCACTGTACGAGAAAGAGTTAGTCGTTCTCTACGTTCAAATGAAAATATTAGCTCGTTTTTATGTAGAACAATGAGATTTAGGCAATCCTTTTTTCCTTCTACAATAGATTTATGGAATTCACTAGATGCGGATATAAGAAATGCACCTTCGTTTAACAATTTCAAAGCTCGTCTTAAATTAGCTTTTGGTTGTTCAAAGTATAATAAGTTGTACGATGTCTCTGTTACTCGTCGATCGTCGATTTTACATACCCGTCTTAGACTTGGTTTCCATGCTTTGAACGAATGTTTGTGTAGAATAAACTGTTGTCCATCACCCGTTTGTGTTTGTGGCAGAAGCAATGAATCTGTCCATCACTATTTCTTGTCTTGCTCCCGATTCGCTGCTCAACGTAACATATTTCTTGCCTCTGCCCAGCGGATTTGTGGTAATAAATGGTCGGAGAGTAGCGGTGGGTTAAAATTGTGGTATATTCTTAATGGTATTCAGGATTTAAGTTTTGATGATAATTGTAATTTTTTTAAAGTCATTCAGAATTATATCCTTTCAACACATCGCTTCTCTCTAAGTCATAGTTAATTCAAAAGCATGTTTGTAATTTGTGTGTGTGCATGTTTTTGTAAAGTATTTGTTGAGTATTTCTTCCTTTTTTAATAAAACCACAAAAATTTGTAAAGTTAGTGTGAGCCCCCTAGATAAGCCATTTGCGCTTTTGGGGCAAACACATTATATTATTAATAAAATATGTTTATAAAAATAAAACAAAAATAAAAAAAATTTAAAAAAAAAAAATGCCAATGTTATGGCAGCCCAAACCATAATTGAGTCGAAATGTGTTGTGACAGGTATTGCTAGCATCATGTGAAAACGTTTTGAATGATGGATTGTTATTGGAAGGCGCACTCTTTTCTCATCGCCTTGGGAACGTTTTATACCCCGAAGAACCAGCTGGAGACGTGACATCTTTTGACAATCCAATGGAAAACCATTTCGTATGTGAAAATGACGAACCGCTGCAAGATAGTTTTTTATAGATGTGTGTTTGATGGTTTTGGTTAAATAGGCTGAAAATTGCACGAGTGTTTCTTCACTTGCTGGTAGAAGGTGCTTTCCTTCATGGGGTCGATATAATTTAACAAAAGCAATAAACCGTTTCTCACCAGCACTGTATGTCTGTTTGGTTGAGGCGGCCACAGACAAATCAATGTAATATTCTATGTCATTCTTTAGATTTTCAACAGAAGGACTGGAATTTTTTGAGGGTTTACATCTGCTTGAGGCATTAGGAGTCGAAACCTTTGAAACTGGAAACGAGAAAGGGAATCAGCAATCTCATTATACTTTCCCGGTATGTGTTTGGCCCGAAGGTATATATTGTACTTTAAGGTCAACAGTGTGAGATGACGGAGAAGATCCATTACCCGGGAAATTCGCGATCGTTTGGAATTAATAATGTTGACAACTGATTCATTATCACAGTTCAGGATTATCCTTCTGTTTTGAAGGGCTTCCCCCCATATGTGACATGCAACTACTATGGCAAACAATTCTTGCCAAGCAATACTAATCTCGGGCTGTCCTAATTGTTGATGAGGTTCCCATTTTCCTTGAAACCATTTCCCCCCGAAAATCCCCCGTAGCCCAACACCCCCGATGCATCAGTGTGGAGCTGAAGGCATTCAGAGTTTTCCCATGAAGAAGACAAGAAAAAACTGGCACCATTCCAGTTAACGATAAACTGTTTCCACATCTCGAGATCCTTAAAAAAGCCTGCACTAAGCTTTATGTGATGGTGGGGCTGTCTTATGTTTCTTGTCAATTCAATCATTCTTTGTAAATAAGGGCAACCCGGTGGGATAACCTTGCATGCAAAATTTAAGGTACCTATAAGTGACTGAAGTTCTTTCAAAGTACATGACCGCCTTTTTTGGAATGTGTTGAAAACTGCTCGGAGGCGTTCAATTTTGTCATCCGGCAGCCGTGCTTCCATTCGAACGCTGTCCAGGATAATGCCCATAAACTCTAACACAGCTGCAGGACCTTGTGTCTTGCCCGGGGCTAATGGGATGTTAAGGTTCTTAAATGTAAGCATCATGGCAGTTAGACTTTGTTGGCAAGTGCTATAGTGTGGGGGCAGTTGGGATGGTGGCTCCATGATAAGAAAATCATCCAAAATATGACATACAAATGAAATCATGCACTTATTTTGTAAGATCCATTCAATAGCATCAGAAAGTTGGTTGAACAGATATGGAGCACTTCGTAGGCCGAAAGGTAAAACTTTGTCATAATAGTATTTCCCCTCCCAATACATACCAAGAAGCTCATAGTCGTCCGGGTGCACGGGAATGAGACGAAAGGCGGATTCAATGTCAGTTTTAGCCAGAAAACAGCCGTGGCCGAAACGCTTAATACCTTCAATCGCATTGTCAATTGTCACATAATGGAGACTAAAATCTTCCTTTGGAATTGATGCATTAATACTTGTTGCACCTGATTTTGGAAAAGAAAGATGGAAAATTGTTCGAAATTTTGTCGAATTCTTTTTTGGTACCAGGCCAATAGGAGAGACTTGGAAATTAGAAAAAGGTGGGGTCTTGAACGGACCAGCCACACGGCCAAGGGAAATCTCATGTTCCAAATTTGATGTTACAATATTTGGATGGGTAAGGGCAGTGGGCAAATTTTTTGAAAATCTAGGTGCCCTTTGCCCTTCAAAAACTATTCGGGCTCCATCCTTTAAATTTGAACATAATTGTGAAACAAGCGTTGGGTCGGGATGTCCCGCTAGAGAATCTTCTAAATTAGCTACAAAAATAGGTGTTAGTGATCTAACTACATTACTATCGTTTGTCTTGGTTGGAATGGCGCTGGCTGCTGGATGAATGGACCTTTCCTTGTTTTCTATATGGTTGGAGACTTTCGTTCTCTGTACAGTAAAGACCGGCATGTTCCCCGTCACAGCGATTGCAGATATGTCGGTACCTGCACTGCGCTCGTTTGCAAGCGCCGCTCCTATTGAAATCTCGGCAAATGCCCCTTTGTTCGGTCCCCGGGGTGGCATAGTGTTGGGGTTCTTTATGGAAAAGAGGGTATTCCTCTCTAAGACTGGCTGGTGGTACTGTAAAGGTCATCAACCATAATTGCTTATCTATTTCGGACCAGTTGAGGGATAGGTTAAGTGCAGCCTTCCGACGAAACTTGATGTCGTAAATACACCAACCCACCCCTTTGTGACAATGAGCAGCATGGCGAATAATGGTCATATATTGCAACAATTCCTGGGCTCTGTTAGGGAATTGATGCGTGAAAACGCTCATATAGGTGGTGAAGGCTGTTGTCCACTTATCAATGTCCGTGATATTTGTTGTGGACTGAGTGGACTGCTTAACTTTAACAATAGAGTTTTCGACCGTTAGTACAACGGGCTGTTCATCTACCGTATTGCATAAATTTTTTGGCAAAAGTTTTGACAGCTCAAAAAACTCACCCGACTGGATCTTCTTCACGTACGATGCCGGTAGGTCGTGGAAAGATTGTCCGTATGGGAGATGATTACTAGCGGGAAGACTCTGCGAAGAGGAATGTGGCGCTTCGGGCTCGAACGTTTGGAACCTTGGCGTCGAGATTGGCGTGGTGTGGTTTATCAACACTGGGCAAAGCTCCGTGCCCGTGGTTTGTTGTGGCTCATTCGTAGGCGCTGACGAAGGCGCAGTTGCCATGGCTTGTACTGCAGCACGAGCGGCGTTTGTTGCGATATCGTTCACCGATTGTTCGACCGTCTTCGCGACGATTGATTGGATTTGGGCCAACTGAGCGTCGTTCAGCAGAGGGTTTTCGTTTGAGCTTTCGTGTGACACAGATCTTCGCTCGACGAGTGGTGTTTGCTCGCTGTTGTTCGCAATATCAACAATTGTCGCTGCTTCTGTGGCGGTATTGTTCGTCGACGACGTTGAAGCATGTTGTTGCAGTCTCGCGACCAGCGTATTTCGACGACCATGGTCAGATAAACATTTTTCTAGACATTGTTGTCGAAGATCGTTTACCGATGGCTGATTTGCATTCTCTGCGCGTTGTTGTACAGCTGTGCGTTGGCGTCGGGCGGGAGGCATTGCCTCGTGAGAGATATATTACAAATTTAAGCAATTTTTTCGCTGTGAAGTGTCCTTCACTTTGGCTCACCGGCAACACAATACCGTACATTATTGTACTGCACTGCACTGCACTGTACTGCACTGCACTGCACTGCACTCGTTATACTCCGAAACGTTAAATGACAAAACATACCACTGTTCAGTACAAATTCGTAACGACAGAAATTGAAGTCTTCAATTGAAAACTGCCTTAAGTTTGTTTCTTACTTTCTCCTAAGTCATCGTACGTACTCATTTTATAGTACTTTACGTAATTTAGTTTACTGAACGCCCCCGTCTTTGCCTTTCAATTATTTAGAAACACATAACAAAATAAACAAATGTAACGACTCTCTTCTTAAAAAATGTAATACGTGTTCCATCCTTATTTTAGGTACTGGAAAAACGACATTTATCAGAATGCTGGCTGGTAAACTGCCGCCTGAAGATGGTGGTATGTCCTCCTTTCTTTCTTTCTTTCTTTCTTCTCCTGTAATTTAAGGCTGCTTTCCAGTTTTTCATACGTATATATATACGTACTGTATACGCAAAAATTTAATTTTATTATACCAATTAACTCAATAAAGACACATGAAATCGTACGCAAAACTAACTGCTGTCTTTTTATTCATTTTGTTATTTGATAAGTAACATTTGAAGGGATTTCAACTTTACCGTGCGGGTATACGTACGTATATGGAAAACGCTGTTGCCCTTATAGTACGGAATAAGATTGGACATTAGGGACTGGAATTACGAATAGACAAAAACCGATGTGATCCAGTGAACTAAAAATACCTGGAACGCTACCTCCAATAGGTTTGGCTTATGATCGGATGAAGCCAAATTTTACCTCCAGCCACGCGTGTTCTACCTCCAGACACGCGCGTTTGTGTTGCGAGACATTCTCGCGAGACCATTTCGGCAGTGACTTGAATGTTTTTTCTTGGGCGAATGGGTCGAAAATTGTCGTTTATTTAGGGTTTTAAGCTATATTTTTGTATTAGAAGTGCATTTAAAACATATCTTGAACCCTACCGACTAAAATTGCAAGGACGAAAGTAACCGATTGGAGACAACAAGTGCATATTTGAATGACTGGAATGTTTATATGCAGATGACACTTGACTGAGAAAGATAAGTAATTCTTTATCCTATAAACGTATTAAATATGTATTTATAACAACTTCATTGATTGTTAAACAAGACAAGTTTATTTAGTCTGTATCTATCACTTTGTTTGCCTTCGTTGACCACTTTTTCTTTGTATTTCTTGCCGAATGTGAATAATCGCAACATGAAATACTTATTCGCGAAAAAAAACTTTAATGTTTATATTTGTTATTTTGTACTTTTAAAACTTAATAAATACTCTACTACAAAACATAATTAAACTGTGGATGGTAGTTTGAACTTGTTAGAATACCTTTTTCCTAACTTTCAGACGAATAAATTGGAAAACGAACGAGCAAAATAGGGAATTTCACACAAATATTTCACACTTTATATGATTAGACCACGGCAAGCTCCACTCCTCGCTCCACTCCTCGCTCCACTCCTCGCTTTTTCTCAAAAAAGAAAATTTAATTACGATTTCTACACAAACAAATTAAAAATATTTTACTCTAGAGTTTTGAAGGATTTTTTTTATTGTAAAAAATGTACTGTCAGGTGCATTTTAAGTCGTTTTAAACGATGTTTTAGTGCATTTTTTTACCCAGTTGTGAAAATTTAAAAAACCCGCGTTTTTCCGTTACGTGAAAAGACTGGGCATGACAACAGTGGGCATGCCTGGGCATGGCTTCACATTTCCGGTTGGAGGTATCGTTCCAGTTATTTTTAGTTCAATGATGTGATCAGGCCAAAAAAAAAATATGTGGGTTTCCGGTTTCTTTTTATAAAAACTTAGGATAGGTCGGTTTTAACTTTTTTTTTTAAAACTTTTTTTTTAATTTTCCGAACAAGCGGACGCCATTTTGTTTAGTCAGTGCTTCCACATCCAAAGATAAATTTCCCTAATATTGCCTCAAATTTCAATTTTCCACAAACGTTTTCCTCTAAGTGGAAACACTTACAAGCATGATCCAATAAAAAAGTTTAGGGTCGGGATTTCGGCGTCCAAAAGCTAGGTAGGGTCGGAAAACCGGAAACCCACATTTTTTTTTTTGGCCTCATATAATCACTTCACCTTGCTATATAACGATTGTTCGTGCAATTAATGTTTTCGAAATTTGGATTTTTTAAGTAAATTTTGAATAGCAAGAAAAAGCGGAATGATACTAAAATCAAAACTGCCTTGCATTTTGTGCAGATAGTTCAAGATTTGGTGATAAATGGCCCTATAGCGATCATGTACTGTAGTGTTAGAAGCGCTTGTTGTAAGAGTGTGGCAAAAATAGCGCTGTAAATATGAATTGCTTTCTGATCAATTAACTACAATCAAACAGCTTCTAGAGAATATCGTCTTGAACGGTCCGAGCCAGTGTAGGTACTGGCAATAGTAAGGAAGCTGCGGAATGATAGGGATACAACTACCTGAAGAATACAAGGAGAACGTCGACGGCCCTTCGTTGAGAAATTAGTAGCCATAGTTAGTAGCTCCGACGAAGGGCCTCCGCTCGAAACGTCCAAGTTCTCCTTGTATTTTTCAGGTAGTTGTATCCCTATCAATCCGCGGCTTTCTTAGAAAATATCGTGTGTCTATTCTATAATATACACCTTGACACCGTACAGGTGCGTTGCAATTTGTTCAAACCACAGTTTATGTTACATTATGACAAAGTGCAGTATATACTGTACATAGATGTTGTAAGCTAGATTGGAAATTGTAGTAACAGTTTTTCGTCCAACGAATTGCTTATAAACGTCTAGATTTTCAAACGTTCCAAATGATCAGCCTTCTCCTGTACGGCTGTAGTTTAACGTTTTAATTATTTTGCTTTTCAGCTGAAATTCCTTTGCTCAATGTCAGTTATAAACCTCAGAAAATCAGTCCAAAATCTCGTGTAAGTAAACATACTTCTAATCTAATTCACCTAATTCAAAAGATTTTTGAAACCTAATTTGTTAGGGAGACGAAGTTATCTTGCTTTAGTTAGGGGCGGACCATTAGAAAAGTGATGGGGGAGGGGGGATTTTCTCAACTTGTACGAATATTTTTTTGCTTGTGTCGATAATTTTTTTAAATATAATCCCTTGCATGAATTTTTTTTTATTTTAACTTATAATTTTCCCTATTGAAAAGTCTCTGCACGAATTTTCTTTTCTAACTTTTTTGGTGCACGATTTTTTTTTCCTGTTTTCCCTGCTCGATTTTTATTTTTGCTTCCCCCCCCCCCCATCAATTTTCTAATGGTCCACCCCTTATAGCTTCAACTTCAACAGCTGTGACTATACTGTACTGTGCTGTACTCTACATATTAAGTATACTTTATTACTTACTTCCCCACCTTGTCCTACCCTATTAGTCTAGGACCTGTATATGAGTTTGTATGCGATTCATTTAGGACAGGTAATCTCAACTGTTTTAGGGTAAAATGACCATGGCGGTCAACATGGCGTATGTGCGAAAACCTGAATCCGGGGCGAAAGTCCTGAAAATGACCCCGCCCTGAAACGGCAGTGTCGACATAGCTCTAACTTCCGAAAAGGAAAAGCGATATTCTTTCTGAAGTGCTTATAGTGTTTAGAAGGGTTGCTTTTAGGGTGGTCATTGGAAGGAAAAATTTGTCGAAGTATAATATTTTACCAGAAAATGACTATGCACCACCCCAGGTAAATTGCTGATTATGCACAAAATAACTAATATGCCTGGCAGAAATTAAATATTCTTATTTCCTAAAAAAATTATCATGGGGTAAAAAACTATGCTTAATTTAATATAAATATTGTTGATTTCATAAGGATTGTCATTGTTTTCTTTAAATATAATACATTTTATTTCACTTACCCCCCAGGATTTTAGCCATATTTTGCCGTCTTGTTTGCTTTTTATCGCCGAATCTCGCAAATATTATCCAGTTATTGTACTTTTACATAATCATAAATGGCTGAAGAAGATTTCAAAGAAGGTTTCATCCACTTTTGTAACAGTGCAGTGTATTTTACCTTCGATATTGTGTCCTTCGATATTCCGCCAATTGCCGCCATTTTAATGGCTCGCCGCTTCTCTGTCTGATAAATGCAACTTCTTCGTTTCCATATGTATTTAGATTACAGTATCCAAGAGTACTTCATTGTAGAATAGTCCCAATCCAAAAATTGGCAATATTTGTCCCATTAGGAAGGAAAAATCCTCCCGTATACCATTTAGGTTCAAAATAAAAACAAATCATTTGAAAGTCACGCGCAATCTTCGCGAAAACTTCTCGTGGACACATGACAGGGGGGGTTGAATATTTTCACGAATATGTTCGCCACCACAGAAACATAACTAAATATATTGTATTTATTGTATTTTTATGATTTATGATAAAAACAATAAATATTTGCGTAGTT